GACAAAACGTGCCCCTTCTTCATTCCTTGCAGCCCCTGCCCTGATTCAGGTTTGTTTCCTAGCTTGTCTCCCAGTTGTCACTTGTCACAGACATTTCACACAAAGCTGTTAAGAGACTTCTTTGTCATATGCATTCGGTCATCTGTGCTTAAAATTTGTCCCTGGCTCCCCCAGCCAACAGGATAACCCCAAACCCACAACCGTTTATGATCTAACCCTGTCTAACTCAACGGCCTCAACTTTTAACATTCTGCCTTGCTTCTTAGGCTTCAGCGACACTGAACTCATTGTAATTCCCCAGGCACTGTGCTGTTTCTTGCTGCCTTGTTTTAGGTCAAGCAGTGACTGCCTGGGTTGGCTTTCCCGCTACCCTCTAGAGCTTTGCTACTCAGCTTTCTGCTTGGGAAGCCCCCAGATTCCCTGCCCTGGGTTTTGCTCATTTCCTCTGCATATCTTAATCTCCCACATTAAGTCTTGAGCTCCTTAAGGGCAGGGGCTGTATCTTGTTTTCTGTTACCAGTGGCAAATGAACACTCAGTACATGTTTCTTGAAAGATTGTATTGTAATTATTTGTTGCACTTGTAAAGACTACAGAGTTAGAATCCTGCCTCTTTCTCTTTTGGATGTGAGGTCTTGGGTATTTCACTGTACCTCTGTGTGAGAATCCATTTACTCATTTGTAAAATGTAGATAGTTTTACCTCCTTTTAAGTGGCTCTTGTGAGAATTAAGTGAGATAACAATGTGATATGAAACTTATCACACTATTCCAGGCATCTGCAAACTACATTAATGCTGCCACTTTTTTTTGGTGGGGGGGGGCTGGCCACAAATAATTTTTTACATTTTTAAATGCTTTTAGGCAAGAAAAAGGAAGAATAATAACTTTCAAGTGTTGAAAATGGAATGAAATTCAAATTTCAGGTTATATGAAGTTTTATTAGAATGAACACAGCCATGTTCATTCATATACTGATTGTCTAGGCTGCTTTTGCACAACAGCATCAGCTTGAGTAGTTTCAACAGAGATCCTGTGGATTACAAAGCCTGAAATGGTTTATCCTTTACAGAAAAAGCTTGCCAACCCGTGCACATTCAAATATTAGGGAAATGCATATTGTTCACAACCTCTTCCTCATACCCACAGATAACTTTGTCCTCTTTGAAGTTCCAGAACTTCATCCTGGGCCTAGCAGAGTGATTACTTGATGTGGGAGTAAGCCTCAGGGGCTGGGTTTTAGCTTTCTGGGAAGGAGGGTGTTTGGAGAGTGATTAGGCTACTTGAGGAGTTGGGGATGTTCACACTGATGGGAGTGTTAATGGGTAGGTGATGTTTCCTTTTCATGTGTTGTTGTAGAACAGGCTTTCTTAACCTTGGCTCTTTTGATGTTTTGGGCTTGGCATGCCTTCGTTAGGGATGCCGTGTTGTGTGTTGTATAATGGTGAGCAACTTCCGTGTCCTGTACCCACTAGTAGCCAGTAGCACCCCCTTGGAGTTGTGACAGCCAAAAGTGTGTCTGTACATTGACAGATATCCCCTGGGTGGCAGAATTATCCCCAAATTAGAGCTACTCTTGTAGAACATTCAGGCATTAGCTATGGGTTAGACCAGAGAAACCTCCAATGCCCAAGAAAGATTACTACCACAGTGCAGTCAGCCCCTTTTGGGGGATTCTGCTCATCATCTCTGTGGTCTCTTGCAATCTCAGATGGGGTACCAGTTATGACCTTGTAGGGTTGCAGGGAGAATTGAATGAGAAATTGATTTATCAGCACAATGCTTGGCACAAAGTAAGCCTCCCCTGTGTCCAGTTGTATTCATTTGAGTGCTTCCTGTTTGTTTTTTGAACTTGTTAGTTTTGTTACTTTTGTACTGAAAGTTTTCAGGAAATTAATAGGGAGAATATACATATTTTAATAATTTTACAGAAATGGCTTTTAAGAAAATGCATTATGGATTAGTATTATATTATGGATCCAGGATGATATTATTTTGTGGATCTGTTTTGTCTTGGGGAAGAAGGATTTGGAAAAGTTTAAACTATTTAAGATGAATATGAAATTATTCAAAATACGACATGACTTTCATGGATATTTAATGTTAGTAGTCAATATTTGTTAGAGATATACTTTAAAAGCATTGTTTCAATAATTCTCATTGCCAACCTGTGCTGCTCGGTACCCTTTTATACATGAGGAAAATGATCATGGTGAGGTTTAGTAAGGGGCAGCACATTGAGGGCAGAAGTTCCCTTTTTCTGAAATAAGGCAGAGAACAAGACACAGAGGTGAGCATTCATTGTCTTCTTGAGAGCTTCGATGTGGCTCTGAAGTTCTGTTTCTGTGGGTTTGGACCAGGAGCTTGGTACTACTGATTCTCCTACCTGGAGCAGATCCACTGGGAAACAAGACACAATCATGGAGTTGAAGAAAAGCTTACGGTTTTCCTTTAGTTTTGAGACTTCCTCGATTTCTGCTTACCCACGAACCTGCATACTGTATTACCCTGAATGCCCACATTTGAAATGTGACCCCCGTCTGCTCTGTGCCTTCCATTACTGGCTTCTGGCCACCGTCTGCTGGGCTCTGCCCTGACCTCTCCTGGGCTAGCACCTGCCATGCCTCACTGCTCTTAGGAGCCTGGCCTAGAAGGGTGAAGGGCAACATGTCTTCACATGTTGGTGGGACACAGGTTTACAACACATTTGTCCATTTAAATGGCAAACTAGGGGGTTCCCTGTGTTTGTTTTGGTTAGCTAAAAGCAAAATCTTTCCTTCACTCAGTGCCTATGCAGTGCAAGACATGGACAGTATCTGAATGTTTACAGGTGTCAAATATCAGACCTGGTGTCCCAAACTTGATGGATGTTGGAAGCCTCACTTCTGACTTCTCAGTTGGTTTCTGATATTTTCTTCTTTTGTTTATGAAGTATGTAGAGCAGATAAGATGTGGAGTGAATACTGTAATTTGTACCTATGTGTCTGTGCATCTTTACATTTCACCTGGCTTCCTTCAGAATCTTTTTGAAGGAAATGAATTATTACAGATAAAATTGAAGCCACTTGTACAGTCTTTCCTGATGCCTTTCCTAGGTTTTTCTTCCCCTGGGGTAGTCACTATCCTAAATTTGACATTTATCACTACCCTGTTTTATTCTTTTTCTCACGTAGTGTGTATTCAAAACATTGTTATCTTTTGTGTTTAAATTTTATATAAGTGGAATCATCAGTCATACTTTCTATTTTTTTGATTTTGCAAGATTTTATACTGCAGTGTGCCTTGCCTTCATTATGAATTTGGTATATTACACACATGGGTTTCTGAACTTAATATAATAATCATCTTTAGGATGATTTATAATTAAATCTATGTCTTAGTTATACATGGAACTTAAAGAAACTTTTTGTTTTAGTTTGCCTTTGAGATGTAGCCTTGTGGATAAATGTAGTTCCAGTTCTTCTATTTTAACGTTGTTTTCTTCTTTTTGGCTTTGGGATGATGTATTAGTCCATTCTCCTTTTGATAGGCATTTACAAAATCTGTGCCATTACAATCATGCTTCAGTGGACATTCCTGCACATGTCAACTGGAGCACTCATGTGGGGTAATAGTTACCTAGGAATATTACCTACAGTGTAGGATATATCCACATTCATCTTTACTAGAGGTGGCCAAAATGTATGCCAAGGTGACTGTACCAGCTACCACTCACACCTGTTTAGAGGATTGGTTTTTCATTCTATACTTGATACAGTCCATTCATGCACAAAACATACTTAAAACTGCTTACTCATTTGATGGGCCTGAACTAGCTCACTGTTTCTCCTAATAATTTTTTGAGAAAAAAAACTGTGTGATGTTTAATATTGTGTGAATTTACTCTTTTCTTTTCTTGGATTTGAAAAGAACATTTTATGAGACTAGTCTGGATTTTTGCAACATTAGAATTTGCAAAATTTCACATGCATAATTCAGGTCGTCCTTTAATTATGAAGCTGGACTGCATTGCTTCATACAGACAGTTCTGAGATCTCTCTGGGGGCTTTTCCTTCTTCCTCTCAAATTCTGGTTCTCACTAGGGTGGACTGTCCCTAATGCTGTCCCTGTGGCCACTGAAATCCTTTCATTGGGCAGCCTCATTCTCCTTGTCCTTCCTCTATATTTAAATCCCCATCAGTACATGGTAGAGTTTCCTATAATTAATGCAGATGCTACAGGAGCTCTGCTGAGGGCTAATTGTCCTCCAATTGTGTCAGTAGGGCTGAAGGAATTAGGGAAACTAACTTGGAGGGTTAGCTAGACAGCACTAGGTATGACTGAGTTTTAAGCACACTGAGCAATTAACTGCATATGATGATAAAGAAAATGACAAGAGATACTTGCTTACTTTCTAACTTTACGTATAAAAACATAGTTGTATTAATCTTTACTTATATTTTTAATGTATCACTGTCCTTCAAATTATAGAAATAGATAGTTTTGATTGGTTTTATTTGGTATAAAATAGTATCTGTCCAGCTGTTGTAAGTGTATTATAGTTTTATTATTTTTTTAATGAACCTAGCATCTTAAAACCAGCTTTATAGAAAATTAGCTAAGAATATAAAAATGTATATACTTGAACATATACATTTTTCATGAAAAGTTAAGTTAGTGATGGTGATTTCTGGAGCCAAAAGACTATTTGGCTGTCCCCCAAACCCCATGCCCACTTGATAGTTCTTCAGTCACAATGAGCATTTTAATGGAAATGTTCAGTCTTTAGAAGAACCTAGAATGTGTATTATTTAGCTTTTACTGGACTAGACAAGTGGGATTTGTTTCTTCTACTCCAGTTATCAAAATGATTAACCCTTTGCCCTCTACATTCTAATTGTAAGCATTGGGAAACAAAGGGGTTGTTTGTACAAGATAGTTGAAAAAATGAGGCTTTATGCCAAGTGGAATGTTTCTCAGCTGAAGGAGGTAGCAATCATTTTTTTTTTTTCTTGTGTTGCAGGCGTCTGTAGAGGCTTCTGGTGAAATCGCATTATGCAAGACTGGATTTCCTGAAGATGTTTACAGTGCAGTCTTATCAAAGGATGTGCATGAAGGACAGCCTCTTCTCAATGGTACTATCTCAAAAGATACATTTGTACATGCAGTGTCCATGCTCATGAAACAAATTAGCCATTAAAAAAGTCTAAATCATCTCTACTGTATAACAAGTATGACTTTTTCACAATCACTATGATGAGACTGTAGGGACTTTATTTTAGGATTACAGAAGAGCTCATGAATCTCTTACAGACATAATTAGAAGGCTCCTGATCTCTTGAAATCTTAAGATTTCTTTTTTAATTTACAGGAGAAACCATTATGTAACTGATATTTACCATTTTTGTGTATAAATTTTACTTAAAGAATAATATTTTGAAGAATAATTGTGAAACATCTAGTTCTAATGGTTTCAAAATTTACAGGAAAAATGTACTTAGTATTTTCAATTAGGAAAGGACATTATTATATTTGCTAAAACATGCAAAGCTTTAATATATAGCTGAGTTATATTGAATGAATTTAACAAGTAAAGTCTCAGTGCAGGAGTATGAAATTCATTTTTGTTATGACATTGTTTATAGCAATTACTAGAAAGCTAATTTAGTTGTAGCATATGTGAATTTCAAATATAGACTCATTTCCCATTTAAATATGGATCAAGTTCATTATAGTTATCATATGGAAACTCTTGCCAGTAAGTCTAGATAAAATCTGAAATAAAACGTAAGTATCAAAAGGAAAATTGAAAGTCCTTTCCTTTAGTTCTAATTGAAAGCAACTTTTGGTTAGTAGTATTTTCATGAACTTATTTATTATTACGCAAAATGTCATTGAAATGTGAAAGCAAGAAAAATTGATTAGTAAGTTGTATTTAAATTTTAATTCTCCACAAATCTTGCGTATCTCTGAGGCTGTTTTAGAGAGCTGCTTTTAGAAATCTGTGTAACCTCAGCTAATTAATTTACACAGAGCTCTTCCACACAGCCTTAATTGAAGTGTTTCCACAGCACCGACAAACCTTAGTGGTATAGTACTTAAGAATACCATAGACAGAGGACTTTGAAATGTAAATGGATTCTTAGCTACTAAAGTTCTTGGATGCAGGTTACATTTTATTTTAATTTCTATTTAAATTAGGATTTGCTCACACCTGTGCTATCTTTCTGAAGTTGATTTTTAATTTTTTTAAGTCATGCTCTTATCCCTGACTCATTACATGGTATTTTAATGGGTGAATGTTTGAGTTAGTCTGTCTCAATACTGAATTGCTGTCTCATCTGGTGGGTAATGGAGGTTTAATTTAAATCAGTGTACAGCCTTTCTTTAACTTAATATGACTTTTAGAGTTCTGCTGTGTGTGTGCCATTTTCTTTAAATCTTTAAGTTACTGTTTGTGACCCTAGAGTTTGACCTGTAAATGTGTATAAAATATGTTGATGTGATTCTGTAGAATAATTCAGATAGATGCAAAAAGTAGAATCTGTTGCATTTCTGCAGCATATTTTTGAGATTCATTTTTAAATGGGTAATTTCATTTTCTAAAAGCTTATAATTTGTTGTTTACAAATAAACACATGGTGTGCCACTAGCAGCCGTTGATTTAAGATTAATTACTTTGGCATGTTGAATAGTTTTGAAAATGATAGCTTGTTTTCACATTATTAGATAATGCTGGTGACAGTAGAAATTGGACATAGCTTTCTGCCAGTGTCTTTTTAGGATAACTAGAAACAGGATTTTTGCTGAAGCTGTAAATGTGAAAAAGATTGAAAATATTTTTTACTTTGTGCTCTAGCCATCACTGAGAAAAGTGTGTGTAGTGGTCTCTGGTAGATTTTTATAGTTCTGGTATATCTACTTGTTCCCAATTTTAGCTTTTAGCCTTTTTTTTTTTTTTTTAACAGTTTTTCACGTGACACCATTACTTTTTTCTTTATCATTCTCAGAATATGTTAAACGATATCAGCATCTTAAAGCTTGAAACATACTGTTTAAAATACTGATTAGTAGGGAAAAAAAATCTTTTTGGAAGGAAGAAAATTTACACAGGCTTTTGTGGAACATCAGCATTTCTATTCAACGTAGTGTGTTATCACCAGTTAATGTTTCTTTTGGAGAATTACTATGTAGGATAATTCTAGGTATTTACCTTTTATATCTTTTTGGAGTTTTTAGTAGAAAGATACGCTGTAGCTATAACCGAAGCCGAATACCATACCATAATTGTATCTATGAATTCTGTGTACTGCAGTAAATCCGTGCACTGTATATATGCCACAGCTGAAAGGGATGTATTGCTAGGCCAACCAGAGTGATGGCTTTTGCCATGACGTTGTCGCCTATAGTGTTTAGGGAAAGCAGTAAAATTGTACATAAGAGGTGTGTGACAGTTTTCCAAGGCATTCACCTCATAGCAAGTTCTACCATACTTTGGTTGACTTTGTAGTCCAAGACTCTATTGGAATCATAACTCCTAACTCTGGATGCTCCCTTTAATTTCCCATTGATGGCATCTGGGGACAGGATGGCAATGGCTTACCAGTATGTACAATAGACTTTCATAGGATACATCTAACACACTAGACTTCGTATAAAAGTTTAATATGTGGATGTATTGGTGCCACGAACGCTGATTATTTTTCAAACGATTAACGTAATCTTTGCAAAAGTGCTTGAAAAACATTGAATATAAGGTAGAGACATAAGTCGGTATTAGTCATGTTAGAAAATTATATAAGCACAAAATATACAGACTGGACTGTAGTATGAAGAGCATTCTCTCCTCCCCGTTTCCCTTTTCTTTTTTGCAAGTCTAATACATTTTACCAAAATAACAAATTCAAATAACTAACTGTACCCCTGCCATTTATCTTCTCATTTTTAACTATGTTTTTTGTGAAATCTCAGAGCGTTTTGTGATCAACCTTTATATTTCATGTAGTGTCACATAAATATATCCACTCTTTGAAGATAGTTCTGTATTTTAAAAAATGGCTATGTAGGCCTTTGTCCCATTTAGTTAGCAAAACCGGATTCTGCTTAACTGTGCCTCTATTTTTGAACATACAGGTTGTTTCTAATTTTCCTCTCTTATAAATAGTGCTGCTGTGGAGATTGTTTTTAGAGATCTTTGATTTTTCTTCAGGGATATTTTCTTTGGGGATTTGTGTTCCAACATATAATTACTAGGTCAAAGGGAATGTAGACTTTGATAGTATCTTTTTTTCTTTGCATGTGGTAGCATTCTTTATTACAAGGCTTGTATGTTAGTTCTTTTCAGCATTTCATCACATTTAATTTCATAATGTATTCTCATTTTGCCCTTTCCCCTTTGGTGAAAATCATTCCTTTTTTTCTCCTTTGGTATATATGTTTGCCTATTAGGATCAATTTTAGTATGTTTAGGTAGTCATTTTTACTTTGCATTTTTCTATTGTGTTTTAAAAGCATTTATGGCCAACCTCTTCATTTTAAAAATAAGCAAATTAGAGCTCAGAGAGATTTAGGTTTTTCCTATGATTATATAGCTCTTTTTAAAAAAAAGTTTAAGTTCTGGGCAACATGTGTGGAATGTGCAGGTTTGTTGTGTAGGTATACGTGTGCCATGGTGGTTTGCTGCACCTATCAACCTGTCCTGTACGTTTTAAGCCCCATATACATTAGGTATTTGTCCTAATACTTTCCCTCCCTTTGCCACCCACCCCCCAACAGACCTCAGTGAGTGTTGTTCTCTTCCCTGTGTCCCTGTGTTCTCATTTTTCAACTCCCATTTATGAGTGAGAACATGCAGTGTTTGGTTATGTGTTCCTGTGTTATTTTGCTGAGAATGATGGCTTCCAGCTTCATCCATGTCCTTGCAAAGGACAGAACTCATTCTTTTTTATGACTGCATGGTGTTTCATGGTATATATGTGATTATGTAGCTCTTTAGATTGTTAGCAGCAGACCTGGAATTAGAACTCAGGTTTCCTGATTTCTAATTTAGTTCTGATAACGGTGATGATAAAAAACTCTTATGGTATAACACTGAGAAGGGATCCAGCCTAAATATCCAGGTGTCTTGTGGCCACTTTATTTTAGAGCTGGTCTTAATTCCCCACTTACCATCATGACTTGTATGTTAACTGGGTATGTTTGGGAATTGGGGAGTATGTTAAGCAATACTCCTTATAATTAAAAAGCATCTTTCAATTATTGTCACTGTTAGTATTTTGTGCACACCTGTTTACCAGCAGAAGAACCTAGGACTTTGGAAGATAATGCGTAGTCCTTAATGTTTACCTTACACTCCACGGACTAGGAAAAAAAATCTCTCGCGGTAGCATATTTCTTGAAAATAAAATAACTGCCGTCATATATTTTCATTTTGTCACTAACAGTGTATCTAACACTATGAAAATAACAACCACACTGGCATTGCAGAGAGGATCCTGGGCTGTTTTTAGTGTGGATGTCAAGAGTGATATTACTGTGTGTTTTGCATTGGTGGTCTGCATGCTTAGATATTTCTCTAAGTAAACTCCTCTGAATCTGGTCAACATAAATAGCAACCTGCAATTACCATGCGTATTTTCAGTAATCCATTCATGCTCACCATCTCTGGGCAGCGCATGATGATTATTTTCAACTAGAAGGAATTTGATTTAGATTAGTGTGCTTACTGATTGAGGCTTGTCTACATTAACATGGTCAGAGGAAGCTGCAGTATGGTATCTTAAGATAACAGAACTGAAGTACTTTTTATTAGCTTAGTAGGACTATACAGCTGTACAACTCTTCTATTTTTTAATAATATGGGTACTTTTGTATGCAGTATCACTGAATCGGGAAAGAGACTTGAATTATCTGTTATGAATGCCGTGGCTTTTGGTTTTATGTATATTTTTATTTTGATACATCTTTTTATTATGAAATGTGTAAATGTTTTAAAATATTTGAAAGATAGGTTTATAAACAACTTGTTAATAAAGCCAGCCAGGGCTCTTGCACTTTATGATTTCCAATTGATTGTGGAAAATGGTACCAAGACAGAGATTGTTATCTCTTGGATATTGATGATAAACTCTAAGGAGGAAAAAATGAAATGCCGTTATGTACATTCTCAGGGGTGGAGGACAGTTTTTTAAACCTTGGGGTAGTTTTTATTTTTAAAAAATAATTGAATATATGATATGATCAATAAAAGAACCAATAACTTTCCATCTTTATTTTCTTTTTTTTCCTATTTCAATCCTTATTTTTAATACTGTAATCATTTAAGCTTATTTAATACTTGGAATTTTTTGTGTCCCTTTTGATGTATTTTAGGTCTAGTTTTCTTAATGCAATGCAGCAAACTAAGATAAGCCAGTTTGGGTGGTCACCTTTTTTTGAAGTTCTTCATAGCCTTCAGTAATTTGGAGTAGCTGAGATCTCCTCCCTCACAAACTTGGAACGAGGAGATATGTGTTAAAGAAAGCAAGTCACAGCTCCACATCTATCATGCATGCTTACAAACATATTAGCAAGCAGACACTGAAATGGTTTAAAACCTGCCCTTTTAAGATCAGAGAGGCCGTTACTCTTTATCCTTGTAGGCTTTCTCTAGTAAACATCTAGTGGGGAGTAGAAAAGAAACTCAATAAATAAGTAAAATATACTTTATGTTAGATGGTGATAAATGCTATGGAGAAAAATAAAGGGAGAAGGGAAATAGGGAGAATGTGTGTCTTTGCATTTAAATAGGATGGTCTGGGCAAATGTCATTGCATAGGAGACAGTGCTTGGTAATAGTTCCAGGATGTTGGTGATGGTTCAAAGGCCTTACATATTAAGGGGAGAAGCATGACAAAGGGAGGTAACAGCAAATGCAAGAGTCCTGAGGCAGAAGGGTGCCTGAGGTCAGATAAGTCAATGGCCACTTTGTGTGGGGCTTTGACTAGGAGGAGTTAATGATCTACTGGAAGGCTTTCAGGAGAGGTAAGAGGTTATCTGACTTTCAAAACAGGATCATGTTGTCTAATGTGTTGAGGAAAGACCGAAATGCAAGAGAGGAAGGGGAGACCAGGTAGGAGGCTAGTCATAATCTGATGAGAGAAGGTATTGGTGTGGATCAAGGTGGTAGAGGTGGAATTAGAAGAAGGGATTTGATTCTGATTTTTAAAAAATACAATAATTTATTGAAGTGAAATTCATACAACGTAAAATAGCCATTTTAAGGTGAACGGTATAGTGGCACTTAGTACATTCACAGGGTTGTGCAACCACACCTCTATCTAGTTCTAAAATGCTTCCATCACCTCAAAGTAAAAAAGAGGAAACACTGTAGTCATTAAGCATTTTCCTTCTGATTTCCCTTGCCTGTGGCCCTGTAAACGTTTTGTGTCTGGCTTTTTCATTTAGCATAATATTTTGGAGTTCATTCATATACTAGCTTGTGTTGGTACCCTGTTCCTTTTTACTGCTGAATGTATTCCTGTGTGTTTGTGTGTGTGTGTGTGTGTGTGTGTGTGTGTGTGTGTGTGTATGTATGCATACTTTCCTCAGTTCCTGTTTTCTCTTATTTGGAGTATATACCTGGGAGTAGAATTGAGGGATTATATATTAATTCTGTGTTTGACATTTTGATAAACTATCAAATTGTTTTCTACAGCATATGAACCATTTTGCATTCCCACTAGTAGTGTACAAGGATTCCAATTTCTCCACATACTCATCAATATTTGCTATATTTTATATTTATTTTGATTGTATCCTAGTAGGTGTGAAATGACACCTCGTTGTTGTTTGATTTGCATTTCTCTAATGAATGGTGATGTTTCATACCTTTATGTATATGTATATCGTTTTCCACATCTTGTTTGGAGAAACGTCTATTCGAATTATTTGCGTACTTTTTCAATTGAGTTGTTTGTGTTTTTGAGTCATAAGAATTTTTTGTATACTCTGGAAACTAGATCTTTGTCAGATGTATGATTTACAAATAATTTCTCCCATTTAACA